GTCGACGGCAGATTCCGCTTGACCAGCTGCCGATTCACACTCCCTGCTAGCTCCTTCACACCCCAATTTGGCTGGATGTGTCGGTCCAAGTCTGCCTTTTTTAGTCCGTAATCCTCTCTCTCCAGGTTCTAGCAGAGTCCTGCCCATGCACTGTAAGATCCGTCTCCGATCGGCCTGGTTCAACGATTTCATTCGATGACGTCACCAGATCCCTGCCATATTGAAACGGTATGATCTGCATATGAGACGTGTTCACTTGTCTCGTTGAAGGTGATGAAGGACAGGCAGTTGAATTTTCCCACAATGAAATTAATATCTGCCCTGTGACCGAGATTGCACATCGCAATGTCATGGTTCGACTCCCGCTGGGCGTGTTGACAGGGCCTATGTGAGCTCGAAACTGCAGACCTTTTCTGCCTGGATGAGAAACGTCAACTCGAATCATATGATTGTGGGAAAATTCAACTGCCACTCCTTCCTCATCCTAAATGAAATAGGATGAATATATCTCATGTGACTGATTTAGTTGCTAGTAGTCTCGAGAACCGATTGAAAAACGAAAAATAAGTTGTCTTCTGCACTCTTTCTCAAGCCTACTCCAGCCTCACTGAGCAGGCTCCCAACGTCTGGACTCTCAAACTGGATGGAAAACTCAGTTGACTCTTACATTTCCTGTACAAGTCGGTTCTCGAGACTCCCCAGTTGATCATTCACAGATGACGCTGCAGACTCGCGTATCACTTTTGCTCATGGGCACCGGTTGAATCTTGTCGTCAAGCCTCTACGTCATGGACACAACTGTCAATCCTGAGCCAATTATCTCTGGTATCCGCCACATCTCTAGCGCTTCTATCCATAATGCCAAATCCATGACTTCCTTTGGCCTCGTCTCTTGCTTGCCGACCCCCAAATGTAACCATCGTCTAACTTGTCTTCCCCTATGTCGCCTTGACAACACGACCAAGTTTCAAAGGCCAGATCAAACCAGCTCTCTACTCCGAAGGACCACACCATTTTGGTCTTGACACGCAAACTATAAGTTTAACTTTACCCATCAATTTCACTTTTTAATGTAGACAAGTGTACGTACATACAAATGAGATGTATTCACTCTATTTTGTTGAGATGATGAAAGTTTGACAGTTAAATTTTCCCATAATCAGTTGAGTGGACCTTCTGTTCCTATTACATTTCACGTAGCTTTGCTTTCCCAAATGGTATCAACATTTAGGCTAAGGTGGACTGCAGCTTCGACGTCGCCTAGGTTTCATCAACTCTCCCGGCGGGACTCGAACCGTGATGGTGCTGTACGTCTGGCAATCGAGTACTTACTATACATGCGGTTTCCCTGCACAATCCGATGGGTAAGCATCAGGAAGCCATTTACTTTCAGCTCTCGTCCTGGTACGAATTGACTGCAATCTCTACCTCAACAACTTGGATTACCCATTTTGGATGCAAATAGTCCCTTTGTGGGTGCTGGTGAGCCAAATTCAGGCAACTTTGAATCTGCAATCCAGTTCATTTAATATGGGAATACTGTTTAGCCGTGAAGTATATGTGAAATTCAATGGAAACATCTGGGTATGGTAAACTTCAACTACAAGTCCTTCATCGACGTAAATGAAATAGAGGGAATATATTTCATGTATATGACCTATTAGTAGTCTATAAAACCTAATTATCAACGAAAAATACGTGCATAAACATCTACATATATATATATATATATGTATGTATGTATGTATGTATGTATGAATTTATAAATACATGCATAAGTGTGACGCAATGTAACGTGGCTCGGGTAGAATCGGTATGACACTGGCAAAGCGAATGGGCCAGCACATGAGAATGGAGTTTTGTATGAATAGCCTAGGCTCGTTGTGAACGAAAAGTATGTTTTTTGTGTGTATAAACAGGCCGACATATGCTGGCCTACAGTCCGGACGGTCGAGGTTGGTTCAGTCGCGACGCGACGGAGTTGGGCTCGGCGGATGGATCGAGCCGTGGTGCCGCATCATCCGGCCACGCCTCCTTCTCGGGCCGCGGATTCGCCGAGTCGGCTGGACGAGGCGGGCAGTCGGGCCGAGGCGGCCGAGTCGTCGTGTTGACGGGAGGGTAGGAGGATGAGACAGACGACGGCGTTGACCAACGAGAAGACGAGGTAGACGGCCATCTCGAGGACGTCCATGCTGGCGGCCAGTTGGCTGAAGTAGTTTGGATCGCACAGGAACTGGAGCACACGTTGTTCGCGACGATGCCACCTGACGGGAAAAGGGAGAAAGGTACCAAATCAAAGTTGGCAGCCGGGGCCAGTAGCACACCCCTCGTCAGCACAGTCGATGTGGGCAAAAAGAAAAAGTTGCCACGATTTGACTTTTCTCTGCAAGGACAAGGTGGATTGAAAGCAATTGGTGAAATCGTCGACCCGGAAACCGAATGAGGCCAGCTTTGGAGTGGAGTGAAGAACCTTTTGGGATATGAAAAGAAACCGGGTTTCGATGAATCCTCTGAAATAAACTTGTTTGGGGGAAAGTGCATGAAGAAAAGATTCGTTGTTCGATCAGAACGGATGAATCGCGTTGCACTGCAGCCGTTTGGCTTTTATGCGACCTTCAGGTTGACGCAGTCCACGAGACCTGTACAGGAATGAGACCCAGCTCTGATGGCGTCCTGCAAATGATGGACGAAAGCTTAGCCCGTTTTCATATGAAACGGGGAAGGAGGTCTCGTGGACTGCGCCAACCGGAACGTCATCTGGTCAGATCGACCAACGAATCTCTTCTTCATGCACTCCAGCAGAAGATTTTGGGGTTTATTGGTAGGGTTTCGAGACGATCAGTATGTCAGTTGCATGAGATGAATTCACCCCATTTCGTTTATGGTGATGAAGGACTGGTAAAAGAAGAATTTTCCCACAATTATATGAGTTGAGCTGACGTTTCCATTCACTTTCACATAGCTTTGCTTTGCCAAAAGTTGTCATCATACAGGCACCAGTGGACTGCAGTTTCGACCTCGCGGGATTCGATCTTATGTCTGCTATAACAATCGACTACAATACTTTATCTTTCGCCTTAAGTATTGTTTCGAGAATACCAGTAAATGGGTACTCGCGAAACAATACTTAATGCGAAAAAGAATATTTCAGTAAAGCCAAATGCACCGTCGTCTTCTGGCAGAATCG